AAGGAAAAAAAAACCTTACAGCTGCATGAGTCGTGACTGTCACTTTAGCCTGATGGGACTAAACTCTCTTTGTGATTTTAAAACGTAAGACAGTACCCAGATTTGAAGACTACATTAAGATTTAACTTCTACTGTTAATAAGATTTTGGTAGGCTACTATTAGATGGATAGCCTAAATGTCCTAATTCAGATGGGATACTGTTTTTTTTTTTTAATGGTATATCAAAAAGTGTATATTTTTTAAATGTGATTGTTGATACATTTTACCAGTTTTTACCATACTTTCAAAGCAAAAATTAAAATAGGAAAAATATGCAATATGAAAATAATTGAAGACAAAATGTGTTTTACTGAGAAAAAACAAGATTTGTTTTTTTCCAAAAGGTACATCTGGAAAAAGGGGGGTCGTCTTATATTCGGGCCAATACAGTACATTTTCTGGTAAATATCCCTTTAAAAATTATGTTTCTATAATAATAATAATTTTATTATAAGTAGTTGTACTATCATTACCTTAAGTGATATTTCTGTTACCGTTTCTTCAAGTTAAACAGAACTTTTATTTTGAGGGGTTGCTGGTTTCTGAGTGTATATGATATGACGAAAGTTTTACTCAAAAGAAATGGTCAAATGCTCATGAAATGACTCTCAGAGCAGTTCTAGAGATCATGTTTATGTGCAGAAACTGAAAACACTGCGAGTGTGTGTGTAGTAAGCGAAAGTTCTGCGCCATTCATTCACACAGAGACATGCAGAACATGCAGGATTACTATTTAAATAGTATTTTGTGGCTTAATATTCACAGACACTAGTCCATATTGTGTTTTGATTTAAGTGCTCTGACCTACTTTTGATGTATCCATCCAAAATTTAGCAAATTCCATTTTTATGACTAAATTCTGTGATTCCATCTGTGTTTTCCGCATTGCAGAAATCATAAGGCCCTAATAGATAAACACGATCAATATTTTTCATATCACAACTGCTGACGAATTCTATAATCGCACTTAATATCTAAATTTTTGGATCCTCAACTTCATGCATTTTAAAATATTTTTATCACTATCATCATTTAACAAACATCACGAACAGTATCACAACATCAATATTAAAATTTCTATTTTTTTGTTTTTTTCAGGATAACATTAATAATTTTAGCATCATATTTAAAAGCTATTTAGGAGGCCTAAACTGCAAATTATCAGTATATTTTGAAGCCATGATGGCGATGCACACACACTAAACTATTTTTAATGAGGAAATTGCGGTACACACAGATTGGAAGAGTCTTTCCTCATTCAAAACGTTCTTTTGAAACTTTTCCAAGGCATGCAAGCACTGCATTGTTTCAGATGAAGTTTAAAGTTGGGAAAAGGCTTTCCCGACGTGACGATTCTTCCCATCTTACATTGAGCTTCTCTGGATGTTGTTGTAGCAAAAATGAAAAAGGCACAATGTTTTACATGGCTTATTATCGTCTGCATGCCAAGACACACTTGGTGGATGATCCTATGCCTCAGATTAGTTGGAATCGAGTCTTCGCATGGAGCTGCGGTATTCAAACAATGAACTTAAAGGGTGGGTCCCGGCTGGTTAGTATGGATTCTGAGAGCACAGCGAGTCCCTTCATCTGTTCCACTGTGCTGTTGCAAAGGCTTATTGAGTGTGTTTTACAGAACCTACAGAGAAGTGCTGTTTGTGTACATAAATGACACTGTTGTGTATTCTAAAGTTAACAAACTTCAAACATCTTGGTCCAATTTTATCTTTGCTTATAAAATGGAGCAGCTTGCATAATGCACCCTAAAGCTGAAAAACCTAAAAGCCAAACCTGAATTTTGATGTTTTTCCAAAGGATTAATCCCGCAACAGAGTAATAAGAGGAGAGAGAGAGATGATGAATACAGTGATGGCCAAAATTATTAGAACACAAGGTAAAAAATGGTTTTACGTCAGTTACTTCTATCTTTTGCTGTAGTGTGTCAGTAGGAAATATCAGTTTACATTTCCAAACATTCATTTTGCCATTAATTGTAATAATCCAGTGAGATTTTTGTCTGACAGCAGCCAGTGCTCCACACAGAGATCTGATCTGATCCTCATCATACTGAAAGACAGGTGGTCACACGCAGCAAACTTACTGGTAAATTACAGTTTAGAGATGGTGTATGAAAACATCCTTTAGAGAAATGCAAGTATTGCGATCCGTGAACGAAGCATAAGATTATTGGTATGTGCGGGTCAAGGTCAAGACATGCTAACGTAAGAAGTCTGCTTTGAATCAATCATAAAATTTGCGATTACTCCACACTGTATATAGCACAGCTGGTTCACAGAGAATGCATTTTTTGTTCCACTGCCTTTGCTTTTCTACGTAAACATGCACTAGACAAAAACAAACAAACACGTTTTTTTGAGATCCTGCCTTTTCCATTCATCACTGCTGCAGCTCTGCAGTTGGATACTATTGAATGGCATCTTATTTTTAAAAGCAAAAAAACACGTTCTGTGTGATCAGCCACATTTACTTTATCAAAGAACATCACATTATGACTTAAGCACTAAGAACACTCCCGTTATAATCAGTGAAGCCGTCTACACTGTATAATGAACGAATCTCTTACACACCCTGTGCATATCTGTACTTCGTTGTTTTACGATGAGAGAATTTACGAGAGTTCAGAATTCAGTCAGTGATCAAAACTCATCTGAACGCCTCTGATTGCCATTGCATTCATAAACTCAACAGAATCACATGTGATTGGTTATAATGCGCAAGCCTGTAAACGCATAAAAAGAAATATGATGCTGAATGAACAGATCTAAATTTAACACCGTAATTTACATTTTCCATTTCATTTACACTTTCTTCGTAAATCCATGTAATAGATTTAGTTCAACTGTGCAAGCCGCCGTTAATTTCAGACCTGTGACACGCTATTCCTATGGTTATAGGCACAAGAGAATAACACGTTTATGACTGAATTTGATCAATTTCATCGTCATCTATTAATTTTTTATTTAAATCCTTATTAATTTCTATTGTGGTCTGCTTTGGCAAGTTGCTCATTGTCAGTACTGCACCATACATACGTTACTTTATAAACCACCCACTAATCTTAAAGGGGTCATATGACGTTGCTAAAAAGAACATTATTTGTGTATCTGGTGTAATGAAATGTTTATGCGGTTTAAGGTTAAAAAAACACATTATTTTCCACATACTGTACATTATTGTTTCTCCTCTATTTCTGAAACGTGTTGATTTTTACAAAGCTCATTGGTCTGAAAAGCGAGGTGTGCTCTGATTGGCCAGCTATCCAGTGCGTTGTGATTGGCCGAATACCTCAAGCGTGTGACGGAAATGTTACGCCCGGAGCAACGAGACAAAAACATGAAAACCCATTATAAACGAGGCATTTGTTGCATCCAGTGGGGACATAATTACGATTATAATGACTTATACTGTCTTGTGTTGCATCGCACCTAAACATAAACATAAAACCATGTCTGCATTTGTGATCGGAGAAATGACAATCTACAAGCGCTACTCTACACTGTTCAAAACTCACGTTTGAATCATCAGTGGCAAATTCTTTAAATATGAAAACATACTTACAGTCTTGAGTCAGAACAGCCAGCATTGTAGTCTACTCTCCCAGGATCAGGAAACAGTCCTTCATAAAATGTGCTGCACACATCTGAATATTTGGGTTGAACTGTTCTGGAACAGTGTTGTAAATACAACTTAACCACTGATTTCTAGTCGTGTCCTCTTTCGGAAGACCAAACAAAGTAGTTTCGCTTTCACAACGAAACTCACAGCATCACACACGGCGGGCTAGAGTGAGCGGAGGCCGGCTAGAGTGAGCGGCCGGTGGATTCGACGAAGGAGCATCCGGCGGGCTTGCGGCAACCACGTGTGATGATCCCGGGGCACACAGCACCTTCACGACATGGTGGCGGCAACAACAATACTACAGCGAGAATAAAAGTTACGCCTTCTTGCTTTGCGTGAACATTTGGTCGGCGTTACGCAAATCTTCCCACATCGTGACGTAGATATGTGGGGGCGTGTTAGAACGAGCCGTTTTAGGTAGGTGTGGCTGACTTTTATAAAGAATATCTCTTTGGATTTGAGACTTTGCAACTTTACAGATCTTCTTTATGCACCAAAAGCTTGTAACACTCCAAAGAGAAAGGAAAAATTGAAATCGCATCATATGACCCCTTTAAACTACCTACAGTATAGGAAAATGGGTTTAGATTGTGTTTATTATTCCCTTTAAACTTAATTTTCAGCAAACATTACTCCAGTCTTCACATGATCCTTTAGAAATCATTCTAGTAGGTGCACAAGAAACATTTCTAATTATTATGAATGGTAAAACTGTTGTGCTGTGTCATATTCACGTGTTTTTTTTTTTTTGGAAAACAAACCGTGATACACTGACATAGTACTTTTCAAGGATGCATTAAATTGAAGTGACATTTATAATGTTTCAATGTTTCTATTATAATCCAGGAATCCTTAAAAAGTCACCATTTCCAGAATAATATTGGGCAGCACAATTGTTTTCAACATAGAAAATAATCAGAAATGTTTCTTGAGTGCTGCTCGATAAACATTTCTGATTATTATCAATGTTGAAAATAGCATATTATTAAAGCATATTAGAATGATTTCTGAACTGACACTGAAGACAGGAGTAATGATGCTGAAAATATAGCTTTGCCAAAGTTAATTTAAATTTTAATAATATTTCACAAAAAAGAGACTTCTCCCCAAAGAGGTGTAAAGAACTGATTGGCATGAAATACAGCACTAACATTTACATCCCAATCAGTGATGGATGACGATTATTAGTAGTGCAACCTCTAAATCAGAGCCTAGTACACACTTCTGTTATGTTGTTAGCCCTTTAGTGTCAAAGAGAAGCAGAAGACATGCGTAGCTCAAAAGCACTTTGCTGATGAGGAGAATGAAGCATGTTGTTGACCTGGTAGAGGTATCTCTGGTTGAACTGCTGCATGGCTCCCTGCAGCTGGCTGCGCTGAGACTGCCACTGCTCATAGTTGCGCACAGACTCGGCTGTGGGCCGCTGCCACGTGGTGGTTCTGGTGTTGTGATCCACATAGTAGAACCTGCCACGCTGATCCACACGCTTCTCCCAGCTACAACAGACACGAATCATGGGTTAACACCAGCCCCAGATACATGCATAAGAGGCCATGCACAAACACTCCCAGATGCTGTTCTTGTAGGGCACAACTTTTTGGTTTTTCAAATGCAATCTCGCAATAGACAGCATCTTTGACCTTTTGCCATGTTTTAACGTTTTTTTTCAGCATCTTGTGCCTTTAGACTAAAAGTAGTTTTTAAAAAATGCCTCAAGAGCCTTCATTCTGTGTGAATACAGAGCTCCAGACGGTGACTACATGGTTGCATTTTGTGACCTTTTCTCTTGCCAGAGCAACTAAATTTTGTTTGAGGTCACACTAGTGCCACTACCAATTTACCTAACTAATATTTAAATTTCACCTATAAATAATTGGTTTTTGTTCATGAAAATAAATTTACATCTGCATACCAACTCAAGCAGTAGTCAAGCTACTGCCACTGAAAGCTCAAGCTCAAATGTGCATTTCCAAAAGAATAAAGATTTAAACATAATAAAACTGTATTTCACCCTTTCGATAAAAATCCTAAAAAGGAATAAATCAAACACCTATGCCTGATTACCTCAAACGCTGTCTGATGCACCCGAGTGCACCTTCACAAAATATTCATTGATTTTAGCGAAATGGTAGAAAATCGGACCAATCGCATAGTTTATATACATTGTGGGGGTTGCTCCTTCCCAAATAACATGAAAAACTGTATCAAGCATTTTCTAGCAAAGGAACGGAGAAAAAGATTACAAATAGACTAAGTGACATCAGTTTGATTAACCTTATTAGATGTATGTATTATGTCAAATTCTTACATTTAATCAGAAAGAAAATTCAATTACAAATATAACTGCCAGGGGCGATCATCAGGGTCCAAGCACCAATGGACACCAAATCTTATCACGTGGATTTTACAGCAAAGTTCATCTTGAAACTTCACTGATTGTTTGTGTTTGATGAAGCAGGTCACAGGAACACACAACTGACTTCCAAAGAGAATCACTTAGTGTTAGATTAAATTTTTTTAAGACATGTGATCATAATATATGTGGTGTATTTGTGGACTCATATTAAACTTCTACATTTACTACATCTACATTTTCAATGGCCAGTATCACACTTGCTGATATTCTATATTCCTCAGTAAAAGAATGCATTTCAAGGCAGGTTTCGTTTGCTTTTTGCAAAGTAAGTGACCTACTCGATAAAGTAAGCTTCCACATTGTTAAAACAACAATTACGATATCATAACCGATACAAATCACACAACCCTAACCTGATATTGTTTCACCTTTTAGGGTGCTGAAATAAGATTTGATGCTAATGTGCAAATTGTTAGGGATGGATTGATCTTAGTAACTCCTTCCGTAAACATTATAAACACAAACATGTGATAAAGACAGATACACACCCTGGTGGGAGGGGTCTCTCCCATGTGGTGGTCTTTGTGTTGTGATCCACATAGTAGACTCGTCCATGAGGGAGAATTCGCTGTTCCCAACTACAAGAGATAAAAAACACTAAGCAGACCGAAACGGCATGTGTTGAGGTTTAAATTCAGCTGCAGCTCTGTGACGTACCCAGCAGGCAGTGCATCAGTGGTGTGTGTCTCTGTGGCTGTACTGCTCTGGTCAGCGGAGGATGGGGTCTCTGTGGCTGCTGGCGGGGCAGAACTGTCCATCTCAGCCGAGGGGGTTGAGCTCAGTGAGGGGGAGCCATTAGCAGCCGTCTCACCTTTACCTGAGCAAAGACCAATGAACACCATCACACCAAAGTAGACCACTAAAAGAGTGTTTACTAGGGCCTAAGTAGGACGATATTTATATATTATGTCTAGGGCTGTCAGTTTAACACGTTAAAATTAAAATGGAAAAAATAATGCAACTAAAATATTTTAATGCAGTTAACGTACTGGCCCCGCCCCCAGACCTGTACATCATCTTATATTTCATACAGTTGACTGTTGACAAATATGATGCACGGAAACAACTCCTTAAATGCAGTTATGCCCTAAAATTCAAGATATTGGGGCAAAAATGCTCCCGTATGAGTTTTTGTTTCATATTTATATCATACGATAAGCGATATCACACGAGCAGCGAGAGCAGTATTAAACGAGTGGTGATTTTGTCCGGAATATAAGGAGTGCAAGTGTGATTTTATACAACAGTTTAGTAAATAAGAAGTTAATATTGTTTTATATTTTAAACCCAATATCATGTTATGAACATATTAGCTGTAAAGCCACAGCAGAACTGTTGTGCAGAGACGTACAGTGAGCAACACAGCGGTGTTTAGTTTCTGAATGAATCCGCGTTTTGAGCGAATGGTGTGAATCAACGATTCAAAGACCCATACATAAACAGAGCCATTTACTTAATTCCTGAATGAATCAGCCATTTGAACGAATCGAATGAATGAATGACTCTTAAAAGACATTTACTGCCACCTGCTGGCAGATTTAGTTTTTTATTTAGAGTATCATATCATTAAAAAAATAATAATAATAAAAATAAAAACAATAAAGGGATAGTTCATCCAAAAAAAATTTTTTATTCTGTCATCATTTACTCACCCTCATGTCGTTTCAAAACTTTCTTTTGTGGAACATAAAAGAAGGAATTTTGAAGACTGTTGGTAACAAATCCGTTTTATGACTTTCACTGTATGAACAAAAAATACTGAGATGTTTCTCAAATTATCTTCTTTTATGTTCCATAATTTATGTTAGGCTGTTGTAGCCTAAATGTTTATGTATAATAAATTATATTTTAAATCAAATAAAATATTTCTTTCTAAAGCTACAGTTTGTAATGTCTACTTGATACTTTCTCATTTAAAACAAAAATAGCTTTAAATAATATTTTGTAGGTATTTTCACAGTAAAAATTTTTATTTTTGACACGTCGTGTAATTAATTAGATTAAAAATTTTAACTGATAGTCCTAATTATGTCATCATTTACTTCCACTCATTTCATTCCAAACCCATAAGACTGTGAAACACAAATTAGGATATTTTAAAACGAAACCTGAAAGGTTTCTGTCCCTCCATTAAAAGTTCAGGTAACCAAAACATAAAAGATCCAAATATAGGTTATTAAAAAGGCATTATTTGAGCTTCCGTGTTTGCCAAATATGATGCATCGTTGTAAAAAAAAAAAGGTGTAGAAATAATTTTCTTTTAGAAATTGCTAGTAAATTTCACAAATAATTACAAAGAAATGGCAAGCAACACATTGAATTGAATGTGAAACTGTGAAGTAGAAGAACTGAAGTAGTACAAACCCGATTCCAAAAAAGTTGGGACACTGTACAAATTGTGAATAAAAACAGAATGCAATGATGTGGAAGTTTCAAATTTCAATATTTTATTCAGAATACAACATAGATGACATATCAAATGTTTAAACTGAGAAAATGTATCATTTTAAGGGAAAAATAAGCTGATTTTAAATTTCATGGCATCAACACATCTCAAAAAAGTTGCGACAAGGCCATGTTTACCACTGTGTGGCATCCCCTCTTCTTTTTTATAACAGTCTGCAAACGTCTGGGGACTGAGGAGACAAGTTGCTCAAGTTTAGGAATAGGAATGTTGTCCCATTCTTGTCTAATACAGTCTTCTAGTCATTATTTGTCGAATAATTACAGAAGAAAAATCTTCATTTGTGTTTTGAAGATTAACCATAGTCGTATGGGTTTGGAATGACATACAAAAAAGTAAATGATTACATCAGTGTCAATCAACTGAGATTTTGCTATATGTTTTATATTGCGGACAGGAGTTTTTAAAGCGGACACTGGCACATCAGAGGAATAAAGAAGCATGGATGAATGAGAAAATAAAGGGTGGGATGCGCTTATTATTAAAAGCACAACAATTCTTACTGTCCTTACACGTTTTGTCAAAATAATAGCACATCTGTGAATTAACTCAAGAGACCTTCATCCGCCACTGGATACCTTCCTTGGGCCAGGTGCGCGGACCTTACAGCTGTCAAATGATTAATCCCGATTAATTGCATCCAAAATAAAAAATGTTATTTACATAATATATGTATGTGGACTGTGTATATTTATTATGTACATATAAATACACACACGTACAGTATATTTACAAAATATTTACATGTATATACATTTATATTCTTATTATATTATATATAATATATAAACATAACATTTTTCTTAAATATATGCATGCATGTATTTGTATTTATATACACATAATAAATATACACAGTACACACACATATGTAAACAAAAACTTTTATGTGTGAGTGTGTGTGTGTGTGTGTGTGTGTGTGTGTGTGAGCGTGTGTGTGTGTGTGTGTGAGCGTGAGTGAGTGAGTGAGTGTGTGTGTGTGTATCTGACCAGCACTGCTCAAGCTGCTGATGGCCGTCTTCGAGCAGTGTGTGTCGTCTACAGCTTCTCCGTTCAGCTCTCCATTCGTGAGAACAGCTCCTCTGATGTCCGCTGGAGAATCTCCACAAGAACCCACAGAATGAGCTAAACTTCTGGAAATGTATAAGAGATTCATATCAGACACAGCGTTGTTATTGAACATATGCGTGACGGTTATTTCTGTGTAGTTCCTGCCATGCCTCAGTGAATATGTTTAATTATGGGTATGTCCAACCTACCTGGACATGGAGCAAGTATTTTAGTAAACATCCTGTAACACTCCCACGGAGGGTGCACACAATTTGCTAGATTGCCCAAGCCAATTCTATTATTTGGGATCTTAGGCCTAGACTGACTAGATAACGTTTACGACCAAAATTTTTAAGTAACACATTTGCTTGCCAGTCATGATTATTTGTGACATACTGGTGGGTTTGGCAACTCCTGGTTTGATAGAACTGACCGTTTTGTTCTTTTAATTATAAAAATAATAAAAAAATAAATTTAAAAAAACTAACACTAGCTTGCTCTATTCTATATGTTTTCTTTTTATTATATAATAAAAAATAAAAAAAAAACTTGCTATGTATGCTGCGTTAAGCTAACTCAGACTTGTTATAGCACTTGCATATCATTGCTCTTTTGTTGATTTTGATTGCTTTCATTGTCCTCATTTGTAAGTCGCTTTGGATAAAAGCGTCTGCTAAATGACTAAATGTAAATGTAAAAATTGCATAAAGCACCTTTCAGTGTATTCAATTCACTGGATTACTCAAAAATATTGGTCATACCACTAACCCCTAACACCAACAGCCCATTTAGGATATCATGCACAGAAAACAAGGCTGTGCTCACCAGGACATTAGAGAGACAGGACAACAGAAGACATGAAGCAGGAGAAGCAGAAACTACATAATGAATAATCAGTGATTAACAACGGTACAAAGAGAGATATTTGTGCTGACCGTCCACGGGGGCTGCTGGTACTTGAGCTCTCCTCACTATGATTAGACCTGCTCGAGTGAACCATCTCTGCACAGACAAAAATACACAAAACATCATTAGGACTGATTCACATTCATCAAGCAGAAAGGTTTGCCATTCCTACTCGGTGACCATGTGTTAAAAACCAGTGATGCATCTAAAATGACCTACTTTTCATGACTGCATGATTGATCATTTCTCATATTTGTTTTACAAAAGCACAAAAAGCATCTAATGCTCCAAAAGGTACAGAGACACCAAAGCACAAATTGGAAAGCGCTGGTCATAATATTACTCAGAAAACATCATGAAGTTGTAGTGATCTGCATTAAAATGTGTTGTGTGTTGAGTGACACAATATAACAGAATATATTGAGAGAGAGCTGACAAACATACTATTACGCCCATGCATATGAGCTCAGTTCTGGTTTAATTCTGGTTATATTCAGTTTTCAGCATTTACGTCAGATGTTCATGTAATCTATTGTACGTTACTGTCTAACGTCTCTTAGTTTAATATTTAAGAGAGTTCACTCTCGTGTCCTTCTAAGGGTGTAAGAAAGACACCCTCATGTTGATCCAAACATGAATGACTTCCTCTCTTCCTTGGAGCACAAAAACGTGATGTTTCTGAGATTTGTTTTTTCCCCCGTATAAATGTCCATATGACTGGTGTACTATAGTTCAAGCCTGATCATGTCATATAATACTTATTATAATATTTCTGTCTGTTTCTCACACAAATTTGTTGTTCAATATATGGAAAACAACAATCAAAATTTCTCCTTTTCTGAAAATTGTAGTTTGGAATCCCATGAGAGGAAAATTCTTGGATAACCATGGCTTTAATACTAACATGCATCTGAAATTTAACTAAATATATTTTGACGCTGCTTATGTTGTTGCTCTTAATGAATCATGTGTTTGCATTTTCCGTTTTAAGTAGTTTAACATGAAAGTATCGGTTAATAAAAGGCTTGCACTTGTAAAACTCAAATGGAGCAGCATTAAACCTTTTATTACAAAAATCACAAGTTATTGTAAGAACGTTTGAGACTTAGTAAGTTTGAGCAAACGTTTCTGTTTACTGAATGTGTGTGCCATCCTGTCGTTCCCCAGGTCTGTACACAAAGAACTGTTTATGTAGTGCATGCGTTTCAGAAAAAAACTGCCAGGGGAAATGAGGGAAAACATAAAACCTTCAGAGCGAACAGAGGACCCTAACAGACCTGCACACACTCAACCTTTATCCACCGCTGAAGGTCAAACACAAACTCACACGCCGAGAGAAAACACACTCCAGATCTTTATACTGTACGTGGCTAAAACCAGGATTTGAGAGCCCATAAGCATATGTGTGTACAATGAGTAACTGAAAGATAAAGTTTCAGTTTTTGAACAACAAAATCATATGCAACAGATGATTCATCTCCAGAACAACATTAGACACGTGCATAAGAAACATTTACACTCAGAGCTTGTGTTGGTGTTTATTACAGCCTCATTCATGGTTTAAGCAGCTCCAAACACGTCCATATTTCAAACTGTGTTTACAAAAAAGACTTTCACAAAAAAATGCAACACATGCATTCGACCTAAGTCAGAGAAATTTCAGAATGACTAAAACTGCATGAGTGGCATATTAAATGTAGGACTGACAATTATTTGCTCATCAATTAATTTGTTGATATCTGTAGTTATTAGTGCTGCAAAATGATTAATAAATCGCATTCAAAATAAAAGTTTGTTTACATACTATGCGTGTGTGTACGGTGTACATTTATTATGTATATATAAATACACACGCATATGTATATATATTTAAAATATTTGCATGTATATATATTTATACTTGTATATAATTTATATATAATTTATATATATAAACAAATATATTATATATAAATCTAACATATTTTTCCTTAATATATACTGTATGTGTGTGTATTTATATATACATAATACATACACACAGTACACACACATATAGTATGTAAATAAACTTTTATTTTGAATGTGATTAATTGCGATTAATCGCGATTAATCGTTTTGCAGCCCTAGTAGCTATGCAATATTGGTCATATATTTTCTCAGCTAGTTTTTTCTCCCATAAATGACAATCTTTGCACATGAAACCCAATAAATAGCAGTAAAATCTTTTCCAGTAAATGTACTACAAATGTAGTTCACATAGACTGATGCTTTCCGTCTTTTACCCAAACTGCTATGATTGACAGCTGTTTTCATTTTAGCATCTATCCATATTGACAATGTTTTTATTTGAGACAGAATGTGGCAGGAACATCTGTAAACTAAAGGCACAACACGACTGCTATGGACACAATGCAAAGGACATCTCTGTTTACAAATGATCTCTAAACAGAAAAATGCTGTCATTTTCCAAGCTGTATTAGTGAAAATTGTCTTTGATGCTTATGTACTTGCCATTTTGTTCAAAATATTCAGAAAAATCTGACCTTTATTGAAGTGACTTTTTTTTCTCCAAAACGAGTACCACAAATTACTGGCATGACTAAAAATTCCTAACTAAAACATTGATTATGAATACTTCAGTGGTGAGACATGACTTCTTCTTTCGGTTATAAATGTGAGGTGACCAAATTCCTCTTTTCCATTGTGTTGGAGAGCTACACAAATCAGGAAATGGCTAAAGTAAAATGAGCCAAATTGTTGAATTTCCATTATTAGAGCAATAATTAGGGAGTTAAAATCTATTGGAGATGTTAAGAATCAGCCTGGAAGAGGACAGGTCTTCACTGACACCACACACAGCGAGGAGGATGACTTGAATGAACAACAAGTTTCACATAATAATGATTGCATGGTTTATTTGTACTTATGCACCAATTGTACTGATATTGGTGTAGGGAACTGTGTGTTTATGTAAGGAATTACTGACAACAGGCTGTTAAATCATTGAAAAATGAAGCACAACTCGGGTGGTAATGTGGCCACGAGGGGAAGACGGCTTCAAAAATATCAATACTACCACCTCACTACTAAAAAATGTCATGCACCTCTTCAGTAGCAAAGACATTTTATTGAAGTCGTGGGGCAGCACTGACCACAAGCCTTTGTTGCATTAATTTCTTTGTGCACAACGGTCTGCATGTGTGTGTGTGAGTGAAAGAGCATGCTTTGATAGACAACCAATCATCCTACTGTTAGTGATATTTATTGTCTGTTTTTTTTTCTGTGGTAATTCTTTAACTGAAATAATTTGGCAAAGTGATACGGAACTGTAATGTCGGAGCTACTTTAACTACGCAGTTATTGCGTGTAAGCCAATCAGATTCGAGCATTCTAAAATTATCAAGCAATAATTATGCAAAATGGTAAGGCTGTGCGATATTGGAGTAAGCCTTAGAGACGGGGTGCCAGAACAAACAAACACAGCTGGCAGTGTCTTCAATTAAACAGCATTAGTCTGCTCGGTTGTCTGCTGCAAGAATGCCAGTGTAATCTGAAACTGTCTGTAACATACTGGGTATTATTACAGTCATCATAATCAATTATTAAATTATGGAATCGATGCATTGAATTTTCAGTAGTGCTGTCAAACGATTAATCGCATCCAAAATAAAAGTTTTTGTTTACTTAATATATGTGTGCGTACTGTGTATATTTATTATGTATATATACAGTGGGGAAAAAAAGTATTTAGTCAGCCACCAATTGTGCAAGTTCTCATTTTCTGGAATTTTTTTTCTCATTTTGTCTCTCATAGTTGAGGTATACCTATGATGAAAATTACAGGCCTCTCTCATCTTTTTAAGTGGGAGAACTTGCACAATTGGTGGCTGACTAAATACTTTTTTGCCCCACTGTAAATACACACACATGCATGTATACATTTAAGAAAAATATGTTACATTTATATATTAAATATATTTATATATGATATAATTTATATGAATATAAATATATACATGTATATACATGTCAATATTTTCAAAATATATGCTGTATGTGTGTGTGTCTTTATATAGACATAATAAATATGCACAGTACACACACATATATATATTATGTAAACAAAAACTTTTATTTTGGATGTGATTAATTGTTTGACAGCACACATTTTCAGATACATTTTTACACCCCTTGCCCTGTATAAAATTGTGTAGAAATGTAGTATTTATGCACATCTTCCTTAAACCTTGAGTATGAGTGTACACATCTTCATTATATTCAAATGTTTTTAAAGGTAAACAGAATTTTTATACGTATTATTAGTCATTAATGCATAAATATCTATTTAGGAATTAATGTTTTTGAGCAGTCACACCACATTTTAATTCAAATCAATATTTCATGCTGACATATTTATTTATTTGACAGGTAGCTGTATAACGAAAAATGGTATCTGTGAGGATTTCCAGTCAGGATGTAGACCGTATCATAGTACTGAGACTGCTCTCATTAGAGTTACAAATGACCTGCTCTTATCATCTGATTGTGGTTGCATCTCTCTATTAGTGCTATTGGATCTTAGCGCTGCGTTCGACACAATTGACCACAACATTCTTTTGCATAGACTAGAAAACTTTGTTGGCATTAATGGAAGTATATTAGCATGGTTCAAATCGTACTTATATGACCGCCATCAATTCATAGCAGTGAATGAAGAGGTATCATATCGATCACAAGTGCAGTATGGAGTACCTCAAGGCTCAGTACTAGGGCCGTTACTCTTCACACTTTACATGTTACCCTTAGGAGATATCATCAGGAAACACGGTGTTAGCTTTCACTGTTATGCTGATGATCCTCAGCTCTATATTTCTTCGCAACCTGGTGAAACATACCAATTTGAAAAAATGGCGAAATGCATAGTCGACATAAAAAACTGGATGATGAGTAATTTCTTACTGCTAAATTCTGAAAAACAGAGGTGTTAATTATAGGACCTAAAAACTCTGCATATAATAACCTAGAACTCTCTCTAAGACTTGATGGCTGCTCTGTCAATTCTTCGTCATCAGTTAGGAACCTAGGTGAGCTATTTGATAGCAATCTCTCCTTAGAAAGCCACGTTTCTATGCAGAAATGCAGAAATGTTAATCCATGCGTTTATGACCTCAAGGTTAGATTATTGTAATGCTTTATTGGGCGGTTGTTCTGCACGCTTAATAAACAAACTCCAGCTGGTGAATGCATGAAAATGCAGCAGTTAGAGTTCTTACTAGAACCAGGAAGTATGACCATATTAGCCCGGTTCCGTCAACACTGCACTGGCTACCTATTAAACATCGTATAGATTTTAAAATCTTGCTTATTACTTATAAAGCCCTGAATGGTTTAGCACCTCAGTATTTGAACGAGCTCTTGTTACATTATAGTCCTCCACGTCTGCTGCATTCTCAAAACTCTGGTCATTTGATAATACCTAGAATATCAAAATCAACTGCGGGCGGCAGATCCTTTTCCTATTTAGCTCCCAAACTCTGGAATAACCTACCTAACATTGTTCGAGAGGCAGACACACTCTGTCAGTTTAAATCTAGATTAAAGACCCATCTCTTTAACCTGGCTTACACATAACACACTAAAATACTTCTAATATTCAAATCCGTTAAAAGGATTTTTTAGGCTGCATTAAGAGACCAGGACAACTAGTTGAGCCCCAGATACAGATCCCCTGTAAATACCTTGTCTCAGATGACCACCGGGACAAGACCACAGAAACCAGATGAATCCTCTGCACAATGTGACATTGCTGCAGCCTGGAATTTAACTGCTGGGATCGTCTGGTCAGAGGAGAACTGGCCCCCCGACTGAGCCTGGTTTCTCCCAAGGTTTTTTCTCCATTCAGTCACCGATGGAGTTTTGGTTCCTTGCCGCTGTCGCCTCTGGCTTGCTTAGTTGGGGACACTTCATTTCCAGCGATATCATTGACTTGATTGCAAATGATTGCACAGACACTATTTAAACTGAACTGAGCTGGATGATGACATCACTGAATTCAATGATGAACTGTCTTTAACTGAAAAATTAGTGTTTACTATTGTCATTTTGCATTATTGACACACTATTTTCCTAATTAATGCTGTTCAGTTGCTTTGACACAATCTGTATTGTTAAAAGCACTATATAAATAAAGGTGACTTGACTAACGAGTAAGATAATCTACAACACAAACCCCACTATTTCGTTATAGGTATTAGGGTTGCAAAGGGGTGGAAAATTTCCGGTAACTTTACAAAAATCCTTGGAATATTCCAAAAAATCCTGGAAAGTTTCCAAACATTTCTGGAATATTTCCGAATACACCTCGAAATATTTCCGAAAGTTCCACCTTTTTGCAACCCTAGTTAGGTATATGACATTAACAGGTTGGGGTTTAGCCATGGGAACATTTTGCAGGCAACATCTCAACCATCCCATCCATGGAAAATATAAAACACTTTTGAAAACGTGTCCCTTGAATTTCAGCGGTTCAGAGACTTCTCTCCTCATGGCTTTAAATTAACATTAAATAGCTATATGTTGACTGACTGCTGTGTGGATGGCACACGTTTTACCATCTAGAGACAGTCGTTCACAAACTAAACTCAGGATACCAGTCTTTCTCCAGTAACCAGAGTTGGGAAGGTTACTTGGGAAATGTAATAGGTTACAGATGTTACCCTATTTAAAATGTAACAAGTAGTGTAACTAATTCAATTACTTTATTAATGTAACTGATTACATTTGATTACTTTTTGATTACTTTTCTAACTTTCTAATCAATGTTTTGAACTGTTAATCATTTTGAAACATGTAAAGCAGGCCGGGTTAACCTTACAGTAGAGCTCAACACTGATTACTGTCAGACTTTGAAAATCCTTCATCACTCGAATTAAGATCATAATAATTTAATTTTAAAACACAGCCACCACAAAATCAGACTATCACATCTTTTTACTTTGAGATCATTCTGAGGTTAAATACAGATTTATCTTCATAACAAGATATAGTTTAATAGCTATGATGCTGTTTTTGAAATCAAATCTTTGCATAGCTATGACAGGAAACACTGGCATCTAAAAAATGCCTTGGAAAACCAGTTAATCTTAAAAAAAAAAAAACATATACATAAACCCAAATAGGAAATAAAACAGTTATAGAATAAGCATGTGTCCTAAACTCCTGAAACATTGGTGTCTCATATTTTAAAGCAATCAATGCAATTTGGGAAAGAAATCAATAAAATCTGTATCTGTGTGAAAATATTCATTTGTAGCCCCCTTTGCAATCGTTAACATTTTCCTAAGCAACTGTAATTTAATTACATTTTGTAATTAAATGACGTACTTCAGTTACATGTAACTAGTTACTCCCAACACCGGCAGTAACAGACTCAATCTAGCAGCCGTGCACTGTCTAACTGACACATGGCTGCTTCCCAGAGCAATTTATTTCCAAGCAAAATGAGTGTGCATGAGTCTGAACAGATTAGGATTGTGAGTGGTCAGAAAACCCAGTGACCTCCTGGGCTGTGTTTGTCAGCTGTGAGTACACAGAGGAGAAAAGCTCTCTTGTGAGCTTTCGCTGGGCCTCCTCTGGTCAGATTCGACTCTTTCCATCCCAACCCCTCTCACCACAACCTCCTCGATTCCTGCATTTAGTTTAGGTGGAGTCACAGTCAAGGCTTTGCGCACTCATGAATGTGCATTTGTTCATGTGTTCTACGAGTGTTTTCTATGAAGTGTGCATGTGTGTCTGTGAACAGGACTTACTGTCTGGGGCAGCGCTGCCATTGGGCAGAGATCCTAGATCAACAACCAGGCCATCCAGACAGACGTTGAGCTCACCTCCTGCTACAACCAAGCCTTTGTTCTCGGTCTGTAGAACCAGACTGAGCTGAACATTCTCCACTGCCAGTCAAACAGATACAGAAAGAGAGAGATTTAGAGCCAGCAAATACATTTGTTTTTCAGTTTCTTAAAACCTACATTTCATTTACATTCATGACATTTTATTTGACTGATTCTTGGTTTTGGCAACACACTCAGTAGTTCATATTTTGTGTTTTAAAATAGCAGAGTAGAAGTGAAACTGGTTTAAAAGGGTTTGAGGGAGAGCTCAGCTGTTCATTTCAATCTATCCCATATTAGAGCATGCACTGACATAATCATAACTGCTGTCGGAAACTTACACAAGAACAGCACACATTAAAACACTATGTCTTTATCTTCTTAGGGAAGCGTTAAAGAATCAGTTCAATCAAAATTAAAATTCTGTCACGATTTACCCTCATTTCCTGTATGAATCTCTTCTATGGAACAAAAAGGACATTAAACGCATCCTGTCTTGTATAAATAAAATAAATAAAAACTGTCTGATGATAAAAGTTCAAGAATTTTTCTAAACAATGTGAAGGAGACAGCTGACTCAGAAACAACTTGACCAAAAAAAAACTAGGACTAACATTGTGGAGTGACGCTGCTCCAAATCAAACCTCAAAACCTTTCAGGAAAAACACTGCACTGAGCTGAAAGGAACATGTGGTAAGTTTGTACAGACTCTGTCAAAAGACCCAGCACTGCAAGATAATTAATTACAGGAGGTCACATATTTTCAATCAGAGACTTTTCCCCTTCTAGTATAAAGCATTAAAAAAATTCAGTTAGGTGTTATGAACTGTCTGAGGTGATTAGCACAGATTTGAACCTTAATATTAGGGCTGGGAAAAACTACTTGTTGATTTTTGTGATTGATATTTGTTGTTAAACACATTAAAATAATTAATGCAATTAACACAGATTGTTTTTTCAATTCCTATAGATTTGAGTCAGGGTAGCGTGGCATTTAGTGTTTGACAGGAATGAAAACGAGGCTGTGAGTGACAGAATTACAGTGTGTTCAGTGGATTGTAATGTTGTTTAACAACATGCCAGCTGATCAGCTGATGATGACACTTTTTCCAAAAAACTAATATACACTCACGGTATGCTGTAATAATACCCAAAACTCATATACCTGCATTTCTGATGGCATTGATTTTGCCATTACTTGTAATTGGATTATTACAATTAATGGCAACATTAATTAGGGCTGCACGATTATAACAAAAATCATAATTGTCGATTATTCCCTTGAAATTGTAATCACAATTTACATTGAATGATGTTTATACCATTGTTTGATGCAAGTGCATGCCATATTTTTATATGAAAATAAGCTGAAAACACTACCTGAAAAACTTGCTTTTCTATAGTATTAAGCCTCAAATGTCAATTATACATCAGATTGGTTTATTCTTTAAATTATAAAAAAGTAACAATATGAATGGTATTATAATGTTATAATAAAACTAAAATTAAAATGGGAAAAACCCTTAAGATAACATGTAGAAAGAAAAAAACGCATCTTAAGTGAGCAGAATAACATAAGTGGACTTTGAACGTTTAATTGCTGCTTTGAACGATTACGTAATTGTAGCATCCTTAATTGTAATCGCGAATAGAAATTCGATTAATTGTGCAGCCCTAACATTAATGTTTGGAAATGTAAACTGATATTTCCGGTAACACTTTACTTGAAGGGGTGTGCATAAGACTGACATGACACCTTCATAATCATGACATGACACATGTCATGAATATGAAGGAGGTTTTATGCATGTTTAGGACAACTGTCATTAAGTGTCATTCGCTCAGTTATGTCATTTTTAATGCAAATATGACATTATTTGACCTAACCCTACCCCTACCCTTACCCCTAACCATAGCCCATAACAAAGACATCTCAAACAATGTCATCTTTGCATTAAAAATTACATAACTGAGCGAATGACACTTAATGACAGTTGTCATAAACATGCATAAAAACCCTTCATATTCATGACATGTGTCATGTCATGATTATGTAGGTGTCATGTCATGATTATGAAGGTGTCATGTCAGTCTTATGTACACCCCTTCAAGTAAAGTGTAACCATATTTCCTACTGACACACTACTGCAAAAGATTGACATAACTGACTTAAAACTAGGGATACTGGTATCGTATCGGTATCGGGCCCGATACTGAGCTCCTGTACTCGTACTCGTTCAAATGCCCCGATACCAAACGCCGATACCACACAGCATGTAATAAGCACCATATTCAAACAAAGAAACACCAACAACAGACAGCAGAATGGAGTTAAGGATGTCTTCTACGAAGTATATGTATGCAATGAATATAACGTTAAACATTTAGTATTAACGCCTGTATAGCTGATGTGCGCGAGCTGATAAACAAAGCACGGAACAAAGCAGTGGATTGAGCGCGCGGCGGCGCAGATGCGCGAGCTTGCCGAGTGAATATGCCTTTCTCACAGACATCACTGGAAAGTTTGTAGTTCGGGCGGATATGTAAAAAACACGTAAGTAAAACAATGCACAAGTTACTTAACGGTAGGGAGAGAGAAAATAAATAAATAAATAAATGCATTCTGATTATTTGCGGGTGGGTCGCGGGTTAATAAAATAAATCATTAATGATGCAAGTATTAACTACATTTTCTAAATTATGAACGTGTTTTAAATAGGCTACATAAATTTAATAAACTGTAAATTAACATTAAAAGTTATTCAACAAAACATTATTTAGTCAAGAGCAGTAAGGGATTTTCTCTGTCTTTTGTTGTTTGATTAACATTAATAAAAGACGGCACAGCTTTATTAGGCTGCTGTCACAAGACCTATTTCACGGATCCAATACTGATACCCATGCGTTTTATTTTGCAACTGTTTACATTAACTTAAGACAAACCCGACAGTACTTCCTCAATTTGGTACTCGCAGTACGCGCTTTGGATGTGACTGTGAGCGCACGCGCCTCTGGAGAGCGCGAGTACCGAATGGCTTAAAAAGACGTGAAAATAATTAGGGATGCACCGATATGAAAATTTTGCCCGATACCGATAACCGATTACTCTTTATTTTTGAAAGCCGATAACCGATATGTTGGCCGATAAATCTATATCCAAATTGTTATTTACTTTTTGAGAGCCTGATTACAAAAAAGGTTTCATCAT